AAGATAGAGCTATTATTTTAGCGACTGAAAAGAAAGTGCATAGAAGCAGAGACATTGCTCCATATCAAGCATGTAACAGTTTTATTTCTGTTCTGAAAAATTATTATTGAGGAAGAAAGTTTTTACACATCCCTTCCAAGCAGGTTTATTGGTGTGTGTTTTTTAAGGATTGTTATAAAAATAAAACCTGGTCACAATTTAGTACATAATTACATAATGCAGATTTTAAAATATTCTAAACATATGAGTCTATGAACTCAAGATTTATAGGGATTAGTGCTACCAATTTGCGTTAAATCCGTGTTTATTAATGTGATCCTAATTTTATTCTGGACAATTGTGTTGCCTTTTGGAACATTCATTTAAGACAATAAAGAACTCAACGGGGGTGCCGAAATCGGTTTGGCTCAGTGGATAGAGCATCGGCCTGCGGACTGAAGGGTCCCAGGTTCGATTCCGGTCAAGGGCATGTACCTTGGTTGCGGGCATATCCCCAGTAGGAGATGTGCAGGAGGCAGCTGATTGATGTTTCTCTCTCATCGATGTTTCTAGCTCTCTATCTCTCTCCCTTCCTCTCTGTAAAAAATCAATAAAATATATTTTTTAAAAAAGAACTCAATGGGGGGATAAGGACACATATGTAATTCCTTAATCAATAAAGAAAAAATAAAATAAAAATAAAATATACATATTCTGGCTTAAAAAAATAAAATAAAGAACTGATTTACTCAGCCAATTAAATATTAAGAAGTGTGATATCAGGCAACAATAAATAATATTTTAAAAGACAGAAATGGACCGAAGGTAGATTTTTAGAACAAGAGATGTTAATTTATTTCATGTTTATTTCCTGTTACTGGATGTAGCACAGACTTCTCTATCCCTCGTCTTGTCCTTATTTAACTAGAGAACCCCTTAACTGTAAATCTGAAAAAGACCTTGCAGAGACCATTTGATTTCCTTCTCTGCCTTCATCAAGGAGAAAACCAAACCCTCCAGGCAATTCACTCCTGTTCCTCTTGAACACCTCCAGGGATAGAGACAACCTTTTTTGATAAAAGGAAACCTGTTTTGGTACCAAGCTACAGTAACGGTTACACGAGTTACCTGTGATTCCTAACTAAGGCAGTCTACTTTACACATGCAGCATCCCCTAATTCTCACAAAAGCCTTACAAATTAGTTATTTACTAAGTCTATTTTATGAGAAGCCCAGGCCAGAGAGAGTAATTTAGCCAAGGTCATACTTCTGGTAAGCGGCTCATCCAGGATTCATACCCAAATTATTTCTTTCATTAACTCAGCTGCTTCTCCAAAGGCGGTGTATGTATTTATCGACATAAAGGGAAGTAATAAAATCAATGAACATAACCTTAAACTTACATGTTTCAGGAAAAGAGTTTCCTTGGACAATGAAAATTATTGATGAAATAACCACACTAGATACCTGTTATTAAAAGAATATCCCATGTTAAATAATTCAGAACCTCCAATCCGGCCTCTTTTAAATCATACGTCTCTGTGTGAATAAACTGACTACAAATTCCCTAGACTTCTTTGTTATCAGTATAGCAAACACACACACACACACACACACACACACACACACACACACGCCTTGTAGGGGTAAAGTTCCAGTATTTTCTTGGGCTTCAGTTTTGAGACTTCCAGATTCTCAGATGTGTGTGTGAGAGAGACTAAGGAAAAGAATAGCTGAATCACATCTAAAAGCAAATTGCCCCAATTAAAAATCTATAATAAAAAGTGAAGACAATTGGGCATTCCATCAGCCTTTTAACCTCAACGGCTCTTCTCCCCAAGCGAACCCAACCTACTTCCAACGCACACCCCCAAACTAGGTAATAAACTCGAAAGCTGGAGGTAGAAGGGTCGACGGCTTGGCCCAGGGTCGGCTTTATTCCGAAGCCTATCGGGGCCCCGGACTCCACGGATGCTAGAGGGTCCCGCTGTTGGTGGGCGCAACTGGGGAGAGCGTTGTTTATCGGCAAGAACAGGGCGGGGAGTTCGTCATGGGCCCGAACAATCACACCAGGGTCTAGGGGAAGAGAACCGAGAGACTATTTCGAAGGTTACAGAGGCGCGCAGGGCGCGAGAAGCAGCGGCTCGTGCGCCAACTCGCTCACCGGCTCCAGGGTACCGCCGGCTCAGCGGAAGCAGCGCTGCCCGGAGCCCGGCTCAGGCCGGCGCATGCGCCGCAGCTCCGCCTCCTCTCCCGCCCCCCTCCTTCCCGACGGGTCTGGGGCGGCGGCGGCAGCGGCGGCGGCGCGGTGACGTCAGGGCGTTGGGGCAGCTCCTGTGACAGACGGAGCTAGAGCGGCGGGGCGGCGGCGGCGGCGGCGTCTGGCGGCCGAGATAGCGAGTGAGCGAGCGAACGAGTAGCGACCCCGGGGTCTAGGGAGCGAAAAAGAGAAGAAGGGGAGCGCTCGGGCGCGAGCGAGAGAAACCGCGAGCGCCGGGCCTGGGTTCGCGCCCCGGAACGGCTGAGGAGCTGCCGCTCCCCTCCCCCTCCCCGGGCCCGGGCCCAGCGCGCCATCCTCCCCTCCCTCCTCCCCTCCTTCCCTCCTTCCTCCTTTCCTCTCCCCCTCCCCCTCCCCGGTGGATGGGAGTGAAGGACGGAAGAGTGCGCCTGCGGAGGCGGCGGTGCAGCGCTCGGGTAAGGCGACGAGGGTCTCCGCCCTTCTCTCTGTCTTCTCCGCTGCGCTCGGGCGGCTGCGGGCCGAGCCCGGCGGCCTGACGATGTGGCTGCGCCGGTCCCCTCCCTCCCATTCTCCCCTCCCCCTGCCGCCGCCTCCTTCTTCTTCTCTCCTCGCTCTCAAAATGGCGGCCGCGGCGGCCGTTGAGTGAGACACTCGAGAGGAGGGGGAACAGGCCGGGGAGGGCGCTGCCCTCGCTCCCCTCCTCCCCGACCCGGGTCCTGGGGTGCCCGGCCGCCGCCGCTCCACCCGCGGCCCTCCCCGGGAAGGGATCGCGCTCCTCCCTCGGTGACTTAGCAAGAAAAGTATTCTTGGGTAGGAAGGGCGTGGAGAGCAGGTCGCCCTCGGATCCTGGAGAAAGGGTTCGGCCCTCGTGTCCCCGGCCACGGAGGGCCCACCCCGTTTTCCCCACGCCACCCGCGGTGGGCGGCGGGGAGGGGCGCGGCACCCACCGGCTTCCCGGGAGCCGCGTCCCCACCTGTCCTCGGGATGGGGTCGGGGATGGCCAGCCCCTTCCCTGGCCTCCCGGTGCCGTGGTCCAGCCTCTGCATCCACTGAGGAGACAGCGGCCCGACCCACCGAACCATCTGCAGCATCCACCCACCACATCGGGCAGGATTTTTTTTTTTCTTTTTTCCTGCCACTGGCTCCTGAAACGGGAGTTGCCTTTTGACGTGGTAACCCTGAGCTTCGAGGCCCTCAGCTAGTCCCCGTCCCCCGGCCTCCCCATCCCTTGAGCGAATAGCAGTGCCTTCTTCCTTAGCCTCCCGGTGAGAAATGCCCAAGAGGCGGTGGGCACATTTTCACTCTGTCTCTAAGCCTTCGAGTGGCGAGGAGGAGGAGGAGGAGGAGGAGGAGGTTTCCAGGATCTGAGAGGAGAGAGCAAGGTGCCTCGGCTTTATTTGTTGTTTTGCCTTTCTCGGTGACTTAGCAAGAAACTCCTTGGGAGGAGGGCAGGAGGTTTTTCTCTTGGGGTTGGGATTTGGGTCCCATTTATATCCGTGGGTTAAGAAACTGTACTTTTTTAAGAGAAGCACCAGATTTGTTGTCTCGTTCTCAATGGGCGATGTCATGCCAAGGTCTCCCCCTCCCCCGTAAGAGGCAATCGGGAGAGAATAAAGATATTACTGTTATTCCGACCGCTGCTTAAACACACAATCCTCGAGATTCATCACGTTTTAAAGGCTAACCCAAGAATGCGTGCCATTTTGGGGAATTATATTTTTGATGGGAGGTGGATTGTTTTGTGTGATGATTTTTTTTCATTTTGAGGCTAGGGCAGAGGAGACAGTGCTTGGGCCTTTCATACCAGTAATGTCATCCCTCCCCATTTGTCACAGTAGTATTTGCTTAATTTTTATATTTTTATTTATTTATTTTATAGCGGGGCTTGATTGCTGCAGGGTCCAGCCTCTTAATCAGGAACATTTCCTGCTTGTGTATGTTGGTGGTGATATGTTGAATATATAAAAAAGCTTTTACTTAAATTCTGATTTGGACCTAAGGCATTAGCTAGCTTTTAATCTCATGGGGATCTTTCAGGACACAGTTTTGAAAAAATAATTGGCAGTTGCAAATTGCAGTTTTTATTAAAGCAAAAGAGCAATTTGTATTTAGGGAGATTTATTCTTTCATGTTCTATTATACATTGTTTGGATTGTTGAGAAGGGGAGGATCTAAAACAAGTTTGAAGCTGTTATTTTTAAAATAAATAATTAAGAGACTAGAACCCAAATTTTCACAAAATATTTCTGTATATATTGATTTTGACGGAGCTAGCCCTATTTTGGCACCCTCCTGCCCCCTTTTTAAAAAACGGGCTAATATTTGTGGAGGCTATGAACAGCCATTGAGCCTAGGAGACTGGGTGGAGTAAGAGAGCAGAAGCTGTGAAATGCTAGATTTAGGTTGCCCTTTCATAGCATTTTGTTTCTGGCTTATGTTTCTAAGGTTATTTGGTACTAATTTATGCTACCACAAAGGCATTTCTCTGTAGTAAATCTTAAAATCCCATGATTTTAGTTTCCACCTTTTTGGCAAGGTGGGAATTGAATAATTGAGGTAAAAAGCAGTGTCCTTGCTCTAAAGCAGGCACTTATTGTCTCTAAAGCAGGCACTTATTGTCTGTATGTGTCTATATATATATATATCTCCTTATTAATGTTTTTATTGTTTTAGTTAAGTAAGTATAAATTAATGAATGCCAGAAATATTTGGCAAGAATTAGTGGAAATATTGCAGAAATCTAATAAGAATACTACAGATGTTTTCTTTTACTTTAGTTTGCATTAAAACAGTAAAGCTGTGATTTTAAAAAAATAATGTAAAAAAGGATAAGATAATTAGTGTTAAAGGCTCTTGTGTTGTCCCCTTGAAAGGGTCCTTTCTGTAAGATACTACCATTAGAGAGGGTAGGTTACCTTAATATTTTGTATCAAGCATTCCTATGAATATACATCTTCAAAAGAATGTCAAATTAATGAGGTAATTGTGATTTTGGTGAGCCTTATAACTGTCAGTGTGTGTTATATTTTTATGCTTTTGTTACTTTTAATGTGATTAGAAAGTAGGAGAGTTCATATAGTGAGGAATGAGTAAGGTTAAGAATGGCAAATCACTGTTAAATGTCTGACATATCCCTATCCCTAGTATTTATAGTTATAAAAGTGCATCAAGAGCAGTTTTTTTTTTGGTAGATTATTAGTGTATCTGATATTTGTGGAAACTTTTGCTTAATGTGATCCATTTTTAAAATTCTTCATAATCCTATATTCATAAACTTTTAATTGGGATAGATTTCATTTTTTTTTTTATATTTTATTGATTTTTTACAGAGAGGAAGGGAGAGAGATAGAGAGTTAGAAACATGTATCGTCATTTTTTGTTTTCAGCTGCCTCCTGCACATCTCCCACTGGGGATGTGCCCACAACCCAGATACATGCCCTTGACCGGACTGAATTACATATATAAAAAAGAAGGCCGACGCTCCATCCACTGAGCCAAACCGGTTTCGGCTAGATTTCATTTTTTAATAGAATTACTTATTGTCTGTTTCTCCAGATAAAGTAACTCTAGTATATAAGAGATTTGGATATGTATCGTCATTTTTTGTTTTCTAGCTAGAACAACCATATTTCATAGTCTGTATTTTAGTCTTGTTCTCATCATATCATGTTTCATATGTACTGAATTACATATATAAAAAAGACAAACTATATATCAACTATATATGACTACTTTTTGTTTACATGTGGTTCGTATTATTCATAATTTATCTTTTTTTTTCTTTTAATCCTCACCCAAGGGTATTTTTCCATTGATTTTAGAGAGAGTGGAAGAGGGAAGGAAAGATAGAAATATCGATGTGAGAAAAACACATGGATTGGTTGCCTCTTGCATATGTGTTGCAGGGCCTGTGCGGGGGAGGAGCCTGCAACTGAAGTACTTGCCCTTAACCAGAATTGAACCCGGGACCCTTTGGTCCACAGGCCGACACTCTATCCATTGAGCCAAACCAACTAAAGCAATGGAAAACTATGGAAGTTGTCAACATTGGGATGGAGATGTCTTAACAAACCCCAAACAAAATATTAAATATTAGTGCAATCAGAGTGAATTTTCCAATCCTTCCAGTTGAGTTCTTTTTTTTTTTTTAAATATATTTTATTGATTTTTTACAGAGAGGAAGGGAGAGGGATAGAGAGTTAGAAACATCGATCAGCTGCCTCCTGCACACTCACCACTGGGGATGTGCCCGCAACCAAGGCACATGCCCCTGACTGGAATCGAACCCGGGACCCTTCAGTCCGCAGGCCAACGCTCTATCCACTGAGCCAAACCGGTCAGGGCTCCAGTTGAGTTCTAAAGCAGTGAATCATGCACACTGTTGCCAGAGGGACTTGAGACTTTGTTTTAAACTCAGCTGGCCATGTTGGCTGTGGTTCTAAAAGAGATTTTTTTTTTTTACTTTAAGTCTCTGTTGTGAAAATATTTCATAATGACAGTAACCTGTTTTATGTACATTGAAAAGAGAAATGTTAAGTTTGAATTGGAAATTCTTTGCCACTGTTCTATCTTGTAAAACTGTATTTTTTACTTAAAAAGTTCTCTATTTAAAACTAATGGTATACAATATAAGTTTTGAAAAGAAAAATAAAATCAGTTCCTGAAGATACTTAGTTGTAGAAGACCAAACGTTTTGAGAATGTTTCTTCATGAAGAAAGATGCTGTGTTATATAAGCCTAATAGCTAATTGCAGTGAAGGCTTTTTGCATTGTTTTAGCTTTGTTGCTGGTTTGGTATGACACTTTGGGCTAGTCATTTAAATGGAACTTTAATTTAGCTTCTGCTATGGGTATAATTTTTAAACTTGCCATGGCAGTTATAGCCTTAATTGATATTTGTGAAATGTTTCATACTCATAGGATATAGACATCATAAGTGCCTATTATTTTGATTTATTGTTTTTCTCTTTAAAAGATTGTGGCTTTTGGTGAAATTTACCTAGTTAGTATTGATATGTGCATTTGTCAAGGATACTTCTGGAAAGGTATCCTCTGAAGTTGTTATTTAGCATTGTAATAAGCATTTCCCTAGAACTTTGTAAATATATTTAATGTGGTACTCATTTTCATTTCTTATGTCATCTATTTTTTGAGGTAGGTTAGTATTTTTATGGATGAGACTACTGAAACTCAGAATTTGGTTTCCTAAGGTCTTGAGACTTGGTTAGTAGCTAGAGATTAGTAGCTAGAATGAGGTAAATATTATAGGCACTGAACCACTTGGGTATTCCTGGTATGATTAAGGAAACATTTTTTTTTTTGACAAAATGAACTCTTTTTATGACTATTCATATGTTTGTTCATTTCTTTTCCAAAATGGTGCAAATCAGTGTCATTTATTATTTGCATCATTTAAATTGGCATTTTTCTTAAACATATGGTCTTATATTAACT